ATAATAGTACCAGATTTCCCCCCCCGCCCTTCTGTAAAAGTAGTGTTGCCCTGAGATCTGAAAGTCTCGCTTCTGACCCCACAAAATCAGGGTTTTTACACAACGGAGTGCAATTAAGGAGGTGGGAAGCTAGAAAAAAGTTCGTCTTTTTCCTTGGGAAGTCGCATCTTCCCCAACAGAGATTACTTTTCTTACAGTTGTATTGTATTGCTATTCTTGCTGATCCCACTGCACCGCTAAAGCATCCCCCTCCAGGCTTGGCTTCGTATGTTGCATGTTTTTTTTAAAAAAGGGGGTAGTTGACTTTCTGTTTGTTTGTTAATGCGGTATTAATCCCTTCTGTATGTCCTTCCAAGTTGTATTTGACAGGAGCAGTCTACAGTTTGGATGGATCCGATAGCCTGAAGGAGACTATGCAGACCAGTGTTAATTATCCCCAACAGGTATGTGAACCACGGCGGGTTCAAAATCCAAACCTGAAGCTGAATGACAAAACCAGACCTCTTGAAATCTGTTTATTACTTTTGGTCCGGTTCCTTGGAAACTGGAACAGCGCACTTTTCTCGAGGCTCCTCAGACCACAGATTTTACCCTGTTTCGCACGTGGCTTAAACTATTAATTGCCGACTCCTTCCCGCTGCCTTACATTGAGGTGTTTATATTCGCAGAATGAAGATGGACCGAACGACGATGTGCAGCATGTTGGCATCACAGCCAAGAATGTCCCTGGTCAGGCCCAGGAAGCTGCAGAGAACCTTGGTGTTGAACTAGCTACTTTACTTCTGAGCAAGGGAGCTAAGCATATCCTCAGCGTGGCAAGGCAGCTCAATGATGCCCGCTAAACCTGCGGTGTGGTTGGCACGATTGCTACAACTCTAGCAAGTCTTTGCAGCCACGCTATCATCCTCCTTTGGAGGAAGGGATTTATTTAAACGTTCACTCCGGTCTTATCTGACGTTTGAGCGCAAAAACTTGAAATACTGAGTTGACTAACTTGATTAGTTTACACTAACACTAGAGAGGGTTTTCATCCCTCTCTGTGTTTCTCTAAATTGCAAAGTCTCTCTCTGAAGTGTTTTCAACCATTTTTTGTAGCTAGGAAGTTAAAAAAATATTAAAAATCTGTAAGTGTTCTCCTATTCCATTTAGGAACAAGGTGCTCACTACAGATTATAATTGGAGGCTCAACTGTGACGGTACTAAAGCGCTGTACCGTGCTGACAGTATTAAAGTACTTTCAGTAGTCATTAGTATTACTTGGGCCTGTTCACTCATCGGAATGCTGAAGAGGATGACCGCTATAGTTCCCGATACCAGGTTCCTCATAGTAAAGTTAGCACAGATACCATGTTCATCATAAGTCTCAGTTAAGGTAAGAAATTAAGTTTGCAATTACCAGATGCAAATTTGTCAATTGGCCGCTAATAAATTAGGAGGTAAGTGGACAGCCAGTCTGGTTTCCCTTGTACACAAGTGTACAAGGGTAACCTCGGATGGTCATTCAGCTGCACTAACCAAGCAACGGCGAGCTGAAGAGGAAGCCCCAGTTTGGGCTGTTGTGCCTTTCTTGGTAACTGTTAGCCCTTTCCTCTTCCCGTGGCTCCTTGCACTCGCTACTGGGTTGCCATCCTCCCAGCGGGGCTCGTGTATTACAGTGCCTTCTAGAAACGCTGAAACGGCACCTTGCCAGGGTCCCATTTTGGAAATGAAGCATTGTTTATTCTCTATGCAAGGTCCACTGAATGTAACAGATGACGAATACAGTTCAGTTATGAGCACCCCATAGCGTGAGTGCAAGTCTTTACGGGCTCAGCTCCTCGGTTCTTCCAGCTGGACTCGAGCGGGCCGGTTGCTCACCGGTGCCTCGATTGGCCGCCGGCCCGCTGCGGGTG